CCTTTTTTTTTTCATTTTCATTGAAAAAATTTTGCCAAATTTTGCCAAAAATTTTCGCATAGATTATTGGTCAGTTGTTTATGGAGACTTAAACCTCACCTTCTTGTTTGGGAGGAGGAAGCACACGCAGCGGGTCATACTTTTATGGGCTTACTAGCAGTGAGCTTTGGTATTGTAGGGAATTAAAACAAAATTTGCGTGAGAGTAATCGAAACAGACCAGATTTGTGCTGGATTTACAAGAGCAAGGATGGTGTTTTCGTGAGAATATTGTGAGAGAATCTTGAGATTATCTTGAGTTTTTCATGTGTATGTCTTGAGAATTACAACGGTTTTCGTGAGAATATCTTGAGCTCCAAATTTTTAGGATCGTTCTAGTTTAGTACTAGTTTTTATTGAGCGACTTCCACTTCATCAGTCATGTTTGTCGATGCACCTAGCAACTTCTCTGTTCCATTTGGGCATGTTAAATCCACATGATTTCATATGGGCCCATTGGCGAGCCCTATCAAATTTCATCAACCGTACACAGCCTTGTAAAATTGTTTTTTTTTTTGCCTTTTTCGGGAACAAATTTTTATTTCTGACCCCTTTTTATTCCAGATTGATTTTGGCGAAGTTTACTTCTTCCAAAGTGCCTCACGAATGATCACAATAAAAAATACTGGTAAAACGAGAATTGCATTTTCATTTGGCGCACGACCAAACCGTACTGCGGTGTGTGAACCATGGCTCTCAGTCACACCACCAAATTCAAGGCTTCATCCTGGCGCTACGTGTGTTGTTAGTTTACAGGTAGAATCCACTCTTGAAAAATTTATTTTTTTTTTTTTTTAATTTATGCATATATGTCGCATATGCAGTGAGCAGACTGCGGGCAGTAACTGAAATTATGTAGGCTAGGATTGAGGCATCTCACCTAGCTATAGGCGGAGCCGGGACGGCTTCCTAGGGGGGGGGGAGGGCAAGAGAGGGCGATTTTCCTCCCCCTTGTCTGCCACTACGCCGGAAACCTCATTCTCTCTGCCCCTCCCCCCTCCCTCCCCCTCCTCCCTCGTCACCCCACCTCCGCTCATCCGTCTGAGTGGAAGCAACCAGCGGGGGGAGGTTACGAGAGGTATCGAAAAGAGTTCACACTTTTAGCACTGCTATTTTTGCCTCATTCCCCCACCCCATCCCCGCTTCTCCCACTCCCCAGGATCTGCCAATGGACGTAACTGCTGCCCACATAGGATATTTCAGTAATATTATTGACAGTCAACACACCGAACATCCTAGCACCTTTGGTATGTAAATGCCTCAACGGGCTGCACGAATGCCTACATCCAGGACAAGGTAACAATGCCCAACACAGATTAAGGATCTTCCGAAAAGGCAAAAAATTTGTTGCTTGCTGTCTCTGCTGGGCGAAGTGCTGAGTTTGCAATCTCTGCAGAAAGGGAACGAAAATCAGGATCATCCATTGACGGATTCAAGGGGGAAGGGGAAGAGGGAAGAGGGACGATGAGTCTTTCGCTCCTCTCCCCCTTCTCTCAGCGGTACAGTATCAGTGCTAATCCTATAGGAAACTCTCTTCCGCACTTCCAGTCGTTCCCCCTTAGGAGCCTCAGCCCCCTTGCTCTCCCCCCTCCCCCGGGAGTACGCCCTGGATCTGTTCCGAGGTCACTTTGAGTGAGTGGAACAACTCACTTGTCTTAAAATGAAATAAAAGATGGATATCACTTGAAGATATTTCGCTTTGATATATTGAATTCCTTCAACTTCATTTAATTATTACTGACGGATCTGCCAGTAGCGTTCCTGTTGTGCTTAGTTCCCAGCTCGTTTCATAAGCAAAACTCAGTTTATGTCTTTTTTTGATTTTTTTTTATCTTAAATATGCACATCGGTCAGTTTTCTTCTGGTTAACTGATGGAAGCTTCAGTAGCGCTCGAATCTGTTTCGTTTTCAGGTTTTGGTTGATAAAACTGCGGCCTGGGCGATCGGTGCTGATGGGCATTTATCGGAGATTCTTGTGCTACGGTTGCATCACGGCAGGCATTATTTTGTGACCGTTTCGGCACGTTATCAGCACAGTGTCTTCGGTTCATCATTCATTGAACTGGTGCAAAAAGAAAAAGGAGAAACTTCTGCCACCGAACTCGTTGATTTGGTAATTTCATCCATTTAAAAATGGCACAGCAACTACTGCCCTCACTGATGAGAGAACTGCCGAGTATTGTTCAAATTCAAAAAGGTAAATTAGCGATGGTGAACTGGAAATCTCTCCAGTATTGTAGTGATTTCCGGAATTGCGCATTTGAACTTAATAGGAAAAAAAAAATGGATTTTTTTATAGTACTTTCACTTCTCATGAAAGTTAGAAAGGATTTCATTTCTCTGTAATTTAGAGTCCTGGATGCAGCAAAATCTTTATTTAAAATTTCATCCCAACAAAATCGATCTGTTTTTTTTTTTTGACGTACGATACGCGACTTTTACCAGATTATTTGCGATTCCTTGGTTTGTTCTGATGATAAAGATTATATAAGGATGAAAGTCCAGTTGCTTTCGGCTTATTTCGAAAGTAGCTTCTCGAAGAGGGATCTTGCCAGGCGAAGATTATACTGTTAGCAAGTTAGTCGGACGGGAAGAAGAGCCCCCTCCCGCCCTGGAACTACGCAAAAACTAGGAATAAAGTTGTAACACACTGCTACTTAGAGTTACTTTAGTTTAGTTTTAGCTTTAGGCCCAGGTTTTTGCTGCACCGGTACTTCTGGCCCCTGGAGGGAAGGAAGCGGGGGTGGCGGAAGGCAAAAGATCCTTCGCCCCCTCCCCGGATCCGCCTATGCTAGCTGGTTGTGATCTAGAAGCGAGAACTTTTGAAACGAGGTGGTGACACTGAATACACACTACCAGTGACATCTCGAAGCCGAGGAAACCGCTGAGTTGGATGCCCTGATTTGCGACGAAGCGGCTGTCATGGGTCTCTAGCCGTCTCTCCACCAGGCGATACAGCATGTGGAAAAGCAGTCAATTGCGTGGATGAGGGAAAATCAGGCTCTGAAACATTTCGAGATGTCTTTTAAGTGAAGTATCTAAATCACTTTTTGACTGTTTTAGACGTTTAGCCCGTCATCCGCTTCGTCGGCCGTTATGGTTGGTATCCCATGGGCTGTGTATCGGTTGGGCGAAACGCTGAAACAGCATGGATTGGAAAAGATTCGTTTCACTGATCCATCAGCGCATTCGGTATTTGTCGCACTGCGAAATGCACTGGATACTGGGACACCAGCGAATCTATGTACGTTTTTCCAATGCCCCTTAGAACCGTCAACGGGGGTAACAGAGATAGAAATTTATAACAAAAATGAATAAAATAGACAGAAAAATCGGCGGAAGTAATAAAAATAGAAAGTTATAAGAAGAAGGAATGAAATAGGCAGAAAAATGAAAAGAGAAGGTGAAAAATGAAAATTAGAAAATTTGTATGTCCAATTTTGTCAAAATTTGTTAAACGACAAGTTTTGAAATATATCCAATTTTCGTTGCGTTTCAGTTGACGCTTGCAAATCGCCGTTCAGTATGTACGATGCTTTGCTGATGCTCATCAGCGCCTTTAAAGGTTTCTCGTTTCTCAATGTTCTTCCATGGAAATCGGGTCGGTTCTTGTTGAGAGTCAGTATTGCCGGGGTCTTTTTTTGACTTTTTAGGTGATAGAAGTGAAGGGTATGGTACTTTTAGCCTGATGAAGAGATATTTCGAAAAAAGGATAAAAAGGATGGATTTTAAATTTAGTGGCCTTCTGTTTTCGCTACAGTTGTCTTGGAGAGATGGAAACATTTAAAAGTAAGCCGAATGACAGTATTTTGCTGTCAGTAACCATTCACCGATTACGCTGTCGATGGTATCCTCCTTCCGCTAATTACCTAATGGAAAAAGTTGAAAATAATTTTTTTCGCCAGATTTACCCATCTTCCCGACTTCAATCCGCTAACAAATTCAACCCTCCCCCTTCCCCTCTCAAAATTTAGGGATTTCGCTCTACCCGTCGTACCTTCCACAGACCGGGCAGAGGCCCATACTTTAGAAATTACGGTTCGATTCATCAGCGCCACAAAACCTTTCCACTTAATTGGGCCGTTCAGGACCGTCCATGTACCATTACACGTGTAAAGTTTTGCGATTTAATCGAATTATTGATTCATTGAAAGAATCTTTTTTTCATTCGGCTGCCTGAGAAAGCTATCGTGCAAAACATTAAAATGTCACAATTTCCAGAACCAATAATTCCGGTGAATTTGCAAGCGGAATGTTTGCAAGCAGCTGGGGATGCTGCGAGCTGTTGGACATGCGTCGAGAAGTTTCCAATCGAAAATCGCAATTTTTTCATCTATTTTATTGGATTTGTTACGGAACTGATGGAACGAAATCGCTCTGCTTCTAGTAAGTCGATTGTAGTAGCAACCAGGTTGACTCTGGAAGTTATTTTTATTTAATAAATTTTAGTCTTTAATCACTAGCAGTTCTAATAGGCACCTGTTTGTGATTTGGCATGCTGTGTACAACAGTTGGTAAATCATGCGATTCGTTTGCTTTTGAACAGTTCTTGGAAAAAGTAGCCATTGGCCTTGCCAGCGATTGGCTTCTATTGGTTTATGATACGACTCATGCCTTTTTTGAGTATCTCTCTTTGATAGAGAATAATTACAGAAAAGATTTTAACTTTTTAATTGAGGAATCAGATTTTTCAAGTTTTGTCATTCCAAAGCTAGCCATTTTGGGATGACCGGAAAAAGGCCTGAATTTGCTTGAACTAATAAACGTTGTTTTTGGCAAGCATAACAGTGCTGTTTTATTGTTCGAGCTGATAATTTTTCGGATTTTTGAAAGATAGTGGTTTACCATGTTTTTTGCCCTGTCCCTTCCCCCTCGTTCTCGTCCTCCAATGCTCTTAGTGGCTGTGATTATAGTCTTTGAAATATCTACACATGGCATTCCATTAATGTTGAAAATCCTTTCTTTTTTATCATGGCTGCACTGGCTTTTTGTTAAAAATTTCTTTTATGCCTTCAGTTTTTCAAAAAATTCCATATTCGGTTAGTAAATTCCTCCAGTAAAAATCAATACCTCTTCCGTAGTAACGTCTTGTAAGAGGCAAAGGCATTCGGAAGTGATTGGTAGTATTTTGCCAATAGAAACCTTCCGCTAACAAAGCTGTCAGTGGCTTTGGAGGTTGCTTGAAAGAGATTTAATTAGCCATGGCCCTTTCCATAGGTGGATCCGGGGCGGCTTTGCCAGTTTTCTTTTCCCTCTCTCTTTTTCTCCCTTCCTTGCCAGTCAGACCTAAACTGCGACGACGACTAGGGGAAGGGGGACGGAGGGAAAGGGAGAGGGAAATAAAAGTGGGGCTGTTGGGGGGGGGGGGGGGGGGGGGGGGGGGGGGGGGGGGGGGGGGGCGGGAGGCATGTAACAACTATTA